TCAGTTCAGGAGAGAAAGACATCCCATCCCAACCTCTGGTTCTGCAGTAAATCCACATCTGCACAAGTAACTTCTAGCAAACTATTTGCCGTTTGATACGAATTTTTGCAGAATTATATTTGCATTTGCTACTCATTTCTATAGGAAAATGTAGCAAGATAAATAAATAGGAAGCAGATTGCACACTGTTGCTCTTTGCAAAGACACATGCAACAGTTTCCATTTTCCTGAGAAAGGATGAACTACAGATGCTCTTGCAGACCTAGAGAATATGAGGAATTTGCAAAGCCAGATGTTAACAAGTTGATAAAATATAGCACACAAACTTAAAGTCCTCCCTGGGGAGGAACGCTGTGGAAGCTAGAAATGTAAGAGGTATGGTTAACATGAAACAATGTATACATCTATACCATACTCGAGTTGAACTGAGTCCCTATGCAGCTACACAAAGGCTGCACACAGTATATTGCATATTAAGAAAGTTACACTGAAGTAACGTTTAACATCTGAGAAGCTGGGTCACTCAGAGTTTAACATCCACTCGAGCAATGAAAGAGGCATCTATAATTGAAATACCTGGAAGTACTGCAGTGAATTTCAATGGAAAAAAAATACTGTTTTCTATGAAACCTGCTATCTCTGATCAGATGCCAGAGCAGTGAAGCAGACGGCTAACAGGTCAGAGCACCGTGAAGGAGCAGCTGGAGGCAGGGGGGGAAGTAAGAAAAAGGTTCATATCCTTTCATTCGTACCCCTTACCTCCAAGTCTTTGCAGCATTCCCAGCCTGGACACGTAATCCTCTATGGGAGCAGCTGTAGTTATCCCCGATGCAAAAAGAAATGTACCAACACCAAAGCTTGGCATTACTCCTTTCTTTGAAACCTGCAGATACTGCTTAAAACTTGATTCATTGGTAGATCAGACACTGTTGATGAAGCCTTGATATCATGCCCTTGAAATGAGAGCAAGCACTGACAGCTACTTGCAAGAGACAGAGAAGCTTACCTCCCTTATTTTCTTTTCACAATGAACAAAATTACTGAAGTGTTATAGCAAAGCACAAACACCCACCTGCAAACAAGAGAGCTAATTATTGCTGTGGAGCAACTTTCTTCTGCTGGGGGAAAGAAAAAAATGCAAAGTAGAGTCTCATCTGAGAATCATTAGCTGTCTCAAAATCCTCTTGTGACTGAAGTGTTTCTTTCCGATATGAAGTATTAGAAATAGAAGCAAAAAACACTCAGAGCTTCAAAAGATTATTGTTTCTTCTAAGGCTGAAGCCAATCCTTAAGCACCTGTTGGGGCAGCTCTCAAAAGATGCCCTCGGGTCACAGCACAGCCCTTCCATTTAATCTGCAGAACTCTTCCTGCAGCACCTGAAGTGCTTTTTAAGAAGGGGTTTTAGAAATGGGGGAAAAGGGTCTCTCCTCCTAAAAAGGTCAGCACATTCAGACAAATAAAGTACTAGCATTGCCACAAAGCACCTATTCTCTTCAGAGCAAAACACGTGTGCCAGCTTCAGTTCTGACAGGATCTGACAAGTTCAAAGATTTGTGCACATGGAGAACACCTATTTATCTGTCTCCTCAAACAGTAATACAGAATGGAGAGAATTGCCAGCAGCTTTCAAACCGTATCTACTGGTACTGGGAGTCTGTATCCTAAACACATATCAGTACACCTACCAGAGAAGAATCAAAGATAACATCTGATAGCCCTACTACTGAGGAAAAGTTACTGCATCTCTTACCTAAGAGTTGGAGGAACTGGATGCCCTGATATGCCAAATAGGATTGTTTAGGAGAAATCTCCCTAAAGCACTTAGCATTCACCTAGATAAGAGGAAATAAAGCTGCCACTTCTTAAGTGCTCAGAAATCTCAAGTCAACTGTCTCTCCACACCTCCTCCCCTAAAAAAGAAAAGGGTAGTTTCCATTCTATTTTTGAGGTGCACAATTAATGGCAAAACAACAACAACAACAACAAGCATACACCTATTTGAGTTTTCTTTAACATCATAAGAACAAAGCTGTCTAAAAATTAAAGCAGAGATCCTCTCACAACTTTACAAACTGGGATTCAATCATTACGATTCTTATCATAGAATCATTATAGAATGGCCTGGGTTGAAAAGGACCACAATGATCATCTGGTTTCAACCCCCTGCTCTGTGCAGGGTCACCAACCACCAGACCAGGCTGCCCAGAGCCACGTCCAGCCTGGCCTTCAATGCCTGCAGGGATGGGGCATCCACAGCCTCCTTGGGCAACCTGTTCCAGTGTGTCACCACCCTGTGTGAAAAACTTCCTTCTAATATCTAACCTGAACCTCCCCTGTCTCAGCTTAAAACCATTCCCCTTTGTCCTTATATGAAGTAGGAAGAAAAAAAGAAATACATATTTCTCCTCCTGACACCAAGTCCTTTGAGGTCCTAGCTTTGTGGAGGTGGTTAGCTTTAAGTTTAACCCCATCATTTTAGAGGAATTTGTAAGAGCATGCTGCTTTTAGCATTTGGAGTCATCATTTGGAACATCAGACAAACCTTTGTATAAATACTGTCCAAGAGCCTCTTAACCTCATTTCCTTCACCTATCTACTTCATCAGACTCTTTTAAGGACAAGCTTCCTACAGTGTTTTTTGTTTTTTTTTTTCCAGAATGTTGGAAGAGAAAAATCAACATGATTTGGAAAATCAGGCCCTTTGACAGCACTTGTAAAGTTATGGCATTCTAATTGTTTGTGCTATTACAAAGAGGATACTCATACTTGACAGATCCTGGTCAGGTTGCTTAACGCATTCCAGGAGAGCAGTCAGATATGCCACCAAAGCACACACAGCCAAAGCACATTTAGAAAACAACACCAACCAACAACAACGCACAGTTGCACTTTTTTTGTGCTCACAAAACATCAGAGCTTTTTGAAAGTTTCTCACTTCCCCCTCTATTTTCTTCTCTTACTCAGAACCAGCAACGATCACACATGCATCAGCAAGACTGCATGACCACAGACGTTACCAGCAACAGCCTTATGGCAATCAGGCATTCTGATGAAACAAAAGCAGTGAAAAGCATTCTTCTAGAAAACTGGACAGACAGATAATCACGTCCAGCCTGTTAATACACCAAGACTCCCAGCCTCTCATATGTGCTTGTTTTATCAGGTTTGACATTTCTCAGGTTTTTCGTATACAGATGACTGTGTTGTTCACCCCACAGAGACAGAGCTCTTATTGGACATTAAAGAAAAAACTCCAGACTGGCAATACAGCAAGATGTTATTTTTTCAGAAACTGTTATCCTCAGCAAACTGCTGTAGCTCACGTTGCAAATCCTGAGGCACACAGGGAACTGGATGGACCACAACAGAACTGCGTTTCTACACAAACAGATGCAAAAACAGCAGATTACAGCACGCAGTTTAACAAAGTGCTGCAGTCTACTTGTACCATCCTTCCCAAATCCAGGCTTTGGATTACTTACAATCAGCATTTATGCATAACTTTTAATACTGTCAGACTAGAATTTAGATGATTCAGACCAGGTTTAAACACACCTCGGGACAGCTTCTCCTGCAGACATCCAAACAGTTACAGCAATCACCCTTATGGATTCAGGAGGGGATGGATTCATTTGGAGGGGAAAAAAAATGAAAAAGAAACAGCACAAATGAGTCAATAAGGAACTGGAGAAGTCTTACAGTTTAGGAATGATTCAGGTATACACCTGGGCTGCTTCTAGATCTTAAAGGATTCAGTTCACTCCAGCTTTTATTTAATCTTTAGGAATAAAAGACTGGGGAATTGACAAATTCTACAAGACATTATCAGCAACAGTAATTTAAATACACACTGAAAGCTGAATGCTATAAGAATAAAGCCTACATGATTAAAACTCATCATTTAAAAGAAGATAATCAGATACAGAGCTCCCTCAGAAGCATAAATCAGTAAAACTCATTTTTGCTCCTATTAGTCAGAAGGACTGAAGCACATATTTTGTAATACAAAGTTTCAAGCTCCTTTTTGGAATGGAAAATATTTGTCCCAGTTACATAAGTGCAGCCTGGTATGTGGATTACTTGTAAATCCACGCATTTTATGCATGACTATCTGGATACGACAAAAGAAAGTGGGTGACTTCCTAGCAATTGGACACAGATACAGAGCATCTGCTGGCTACTATTTGGGACTGGACTGGCAAACACTGTGAAAATGCTTAAGCTTTACTGCAACCCAGATACTACAATTAAAAAAGAAAAAAGATTAGCGGCAACTCAGATCCAAGCGAGGTGTAAGATTTTAATTGAACTGTAAACATGTGAAACAGCTGAGAGCAGAACAAAATCTTTTAGTATTTAAAGCTTCCCAACTGATCTTGTTTCAACAGAAAAATGTATTGATACAGGACTTCATAGCAAACATTTCGCTTCGTGGAAGTCACTCTAGACCATCTATGGCTGGAAAATTCTCTTTTCTGATCAATTTTAAGCTTTCAACTCTATTATTACAAACATCCTGACCTGTTTTTGATGTGACCACATCACTATCGTCCACCCTGTATCCAAAGAGGTAATTACTGTTAGAAAGCACAGGACAAGCTGAAACAAAACAAATCAAACAAGCAAACGCCCAACCAACCACACGCACAACAGGGAGAAGTGCTTTAACCAGTCTGCATCCACATATCTCTACAATTTGATATAAGAATATCATCTGGCACATCTTATTATGCAAGAAGTAAAGTTAATCATATCCTCAGTGACTCTGGGGAAAAATCCCTGCTGTCAGAAATTTACCTTTTTGGAGGATGGATGACTGCACTGCTGTCAAAAATGCATCTTTTTCAGTGGATGGATGGCTGCAGAGGTAATGCCTATTTTCAATTAGCTCCAAATATCTGGCAACTCACACTCTGTGCTTAAACACTGAATTCTGTTTTAATATTTGATTATAATTTGCAATGATTTGCAATTTAAGAAAGTCTTCCAGAACCCAGAGTTTACATTTGCAATGTTTATTATGAAATACATTCACAGTGCAACGCAAATTACACAAAAAGCTATACAAAAAAACATACAAAAGACTACACGAAGCACGTACCATTCAGTAATGCATGCAATATCTGATATACTCTTAGTAAGGCTAGAAATGTCTTAACACCCATTAGCAAGAAATTGAAGTCAAAGATAAATAATTGGATTAAGAAACTCCTTCATTATTTAGGTTTTTAAAAATTAAAAACCCCTTTATGTTGCTTAGCATGCAAACAATGCAAAAGAAGCAACACCCTGCTCATTTCCAGCATGTAAAAAAGGTTTTCAATGTTTCAAGACAAGATTAATTTTCAATCACTCATTTTCTCCTTCATCAAAAATAGTCACAAAAAGCAATTCGGCACTTTGCTTCCTGATCAGGTCGAAAATACAGAGAACAACCTGTAACACACACATAATCACGTGTCAGCACATAAGATTAGAAACATTACGTGTAAAAGTTTAGAGATCAAGATGGTCCAGTGCAGGCAGCGCACAGAGAAGTCACATAACGACTGTTTTGAAGTACATTACACAGCTTTATTCATATCAGAAAAATGCACTTGCAGTACGGACCCAGAATAATTCCAGCAGTATTCATTGATGAGTTGTGCTTTGTGCACAGACCTAAGGTTTGTAGCTACTTCCCATAGCCTCACCTCACCACATCATACCAAAAAATAAATCCTAGCTGGCTAAGAGCAAATAAGTGGCAATTTCTTCTACCAGTCAGATTTAGGTGGCAGTTTCATTTTATTTCACTCTATCGAATAATAACATTTTACAAGTGACATTTTTCTGACCTTCAGTATGCTAATGGTTTCGTGACTTCAGGAGATATCCTTCCTTATTTAATCTATGCATAACTTTAATGAGAGGTCCTAAGGACATATTCTCAATATCTAGTTTAAACTAAGGGCATGTATTTGCATAGTAGCAACAAAATGACAGCTCAGAACGTCTCTTGGGCATGACAGAATTATCAAAGAACCTGTTCTCCTGAAATTCATGTGCTAATTCTAAAAACAGCTAGCAAGAGGTGTGTATTCAGCCTCCCACTTGTGGAACTCTAAAGCTGTGAAATGGATGAACTGTGCACCTCAGCTGAAAAAAAGGGTTCAAGATTTTACTTTCAGAGGGACAGTGCTAATGAGGACATTATTGCTTTAGCATCTCAACACAGCCAAAGTGTGTTCAATTGATTATAATGGCTGCATATACTGGCAACCCACAATTTTAATTAATAAATTCTGTTCTGTGCACTTGCATGCACAGCCTGTTCAAGAATCACAGAGGGCTTGTAAACCCAGACATAAGCGTTAAGTTCCTGTGGAAAAATCAGTGTGGAACTAACATGCTAAAAGAAATTAAGTAATCACATACTTAATAGTAGTAAAGATATGCACCCTAATAAGCACTATATAGAAATAAGCAGCCTCATTGATAGCTATTCAAATAAATCCAAACTGACAGTAGCACTTCTTCAGTCCATTTTCTGAATCAATCTCTAAGCCCCACAGCAAAGAGTAATATTCTACAGCCAATTTTCAGGAGTACTTTTGAGAGTAGCCCCCTGCTCTCAAGTTCTTAACAACGAAGAGCTTTCTTAATGCCATCAGAGCCCTTTCTCTGGTTCCTGGTTGCTGCACGTCCCTTGTAACAAGTAACAGTGTGCCAGTGTCATTACTCCCAGAGCTCAAGGGAATCTCAGGTATATCCCATATGTGGCATGGGAATACCAGAGGTAGATGCATCTCCAGAGACCCTGAAGGGACCTTAGAGCTCTTTAGACTTTAGAGCATTTTCAGCTGAGTACCCATGATCAGAGTTCACCTCAGAGCAAAGAGCCTAGCAAGTGCTCACTCACCAGACTGCTCATATGACAACCCTGCATAAATGCCCCTGCAAACAAATTTATTCAAAAAAGATGCCGAAGCAGAATAAAGCAGATGCACATTTTTTAAGTCATGCTCTGTTTCTGAAAGAATGCTGCAAGAAAAGTCTATTTCAGACTAAGCTTTCAGAAGAACTCATCAAATACAATTTCCTCCCTGACCCGCAATGAAGACAAATACACATACAGGAAAGTTTTGAACAATGAGTGTCACAGGAATATACTTTGCTAAGAAAGTGTCTAAATTAAACTTCACAATTATCGATGTATCAAATGTATGCCAGCATTGCACTTTTCATGTCTTCCATTAAATGCTGACAAGAAACATTCAAGTGTCAATAAAAGTTTAGAAATCACTGTAAAAACAAGTTAGTACAAAACCTCTGTGGTTTCTGAGCTGAAGTGCAAGTCTTGAGCACAATGCACACAAGGAGGTATGTTGTTTACTCCAGTTCAGGTAACGTGGTATTAAAACCATCAAGAGCTTTATAAAAGGAATGTATGAGAAATATAAATCCAAATGACAAAAATTCTCTGATACTACTGCAGTATTCAAACTAAGTGACATTCAAGTGCTGAGTCAAACCATACATGAACACTTCTGTGTCAGATCTCACATTCCCATCCGCATATCAGCAAAGTTGTAGAAGTTGTCTACATCTTGAGATGCTGATGCCTTGCTCTCCGACACAAAAACCTATTTCAGTAAACAAGGAAACAGTTATGCATCACTAATAAACAAGTTCAAGTAGTTTTTGCTTGCTTGGAGCTAATTATGACTTTATTTTTGCATTTCATGAGAGACCCAAATCTCTTGGTTTCCACTAAGGGTTGACAACAGAATCCTCTGAGCCCTGTCGTACTCTTTGTTATTGTGACTGTTCTCAGCAGACTCAGGCTACCATTAAGCTTTCACACACGAAAAAACAAAGTTGGTAAGAACTCCCTTGCACTCTATTGCCAAAATCTTAGCTGCTTCTTTAGACAATTTTAGGTGTTTTATTTATTTATAATTCATTAGATTTGCATTTTGCAGAATTGATCAACACATGCAATTCCAAGGTCTAGGACAATCACCTTCAAGAATTTCCAGCAAATTAGCTACAAATATCCCAGGCACCATTCAAATAGATCAGTGTAACAGACAGAAGGGCTGCAGAAGCTCATCAGTTTCTTCACGTTCAACAGTCTCAACAAATAAAGGATACTTTCAATTAAAACACTTGAATTATTTCTATTTTTTATTCCTCCAGGGGAAATTCCCTCCCTCTTACCATATCATATGTGCTTGTGCAGCAAACAGCGACTCTGAAGTGCACTGAAAGTGTAAAAATGGGCTACTCCAGATAATCACACTCACACAGCACTACTCTTCTGCTTCACCTCAGAGTACCATGTCAACATAAACTATGACAGTTCCTTGAATTGGTTTACTCTAATATGGTTCAAGATGAATATCCTGTTATCCATCAACTTCTGATTTCAGAACAAAATTGTCTATTTCAAGTAGCTGCCTGGACTACTGCTTGCAAGCACAGTAGATTTCCGTTTGAAGGGACTTGACAACACCTACTATTTATCTGGCAGTTTGCTGGTGCAACAGCAATTTGTACCACAGTCACAATAGTTAAGTATGTTCTTTCAATATCCTTCCCTACCAGAATATTGCAATTTACATTTTGAAGAGGATTTTATAAGTGATGAGGCCAACGGATACTGCATGAAAGGCACACAGAGGGGAAAAAAGAAAAAAAAAAGACAGATCTAGCAAGACCACACAAATCAGAAGTTCTGTTATGTGTGTGTAGCGCAGAGGTCTCTTTGCAACACATTGTTTCTACTAAGCAGCTGTAAGACTTCTGTAGAAGACTTAAGACCAGCTGGTGCTACTGCTGATGATTTTTTCTACCTGCACTGGAGTATCTCAACAGTTATATTAGATCTAAATCAGAAACAAAAATTTGGCTAAATTAAAGGTACTAATGGATGAAGTTAATAAATTAATAATTTCGAAATGCAAGTGTAACTAGTTGCTTAAAAGCAGACTGATGTCCTTGCAAAACCTTACAGGATAAATGCCTTCCCAAGAGCTTTTGTCCCTGCTTTGTGATCAAGAATACCTATAATTCTTTCTGAGCACTGTAACAACTCTCAAGCTGTCCAAACGATAAAGGCAGCCAGCAGTGATGTGAAATCATTTTATAGAGCATTCCTGAACCTGCTGGTAGTAGTAAGTCCAAAGTCTGCTATCCCTACATTATTTCTAAATTATGACCTAAGAAAGATATATTTCCTAAAATGCATACTTGTGATATTCAAGTAGATGGAGATCCATACACAAACATAGCATTTATCTGATATTTGGGTGTTAAATTGTGTCTAAATAAAAAACCAATAGGAAGCCTGAAGTCTTGCTTCTCAATTCAGCCCAACAATTATTTACAAACTGAGGTAGGTTTTACTACAGAGCCAGTCTGTAAAAAGCAGATTTAAATCCAGGAGCAGGAAATAATTTCACATTTTGGAACCTGAAGAACAAAGATTACTTCAAAGTATGAAGTGCATAGTTTCTGATATCCCAGATCAGAGCATTCACTGTGTTATGACAACAGACACCAGTCATTCTGGCAAGGAAAGTATAAGTTTTTATTTGTTCTAATAATTAATATAACTTCAGCCTTTGAACAGAGAAACTGAGATCTAGAAGAATGAACTAATTATGTACCCACTATCAGCTTTGTTTGGTATGAAAAGAGAAAAAAAAAAAAACCAACAAACTAACTACATCAGAAACACCACAGTGATCTCCCAGTTAAAGAACTGATTTTTATGGTACAATTTGCAGAGATGACTTTTGGGTCCCAAGAAAGAACCAGCAACATCACAGCTCTGCCTAGACTGCAGTCCTAGTATTTCCCAGACTAGGAGAACCGAAATTTAAACCTGCTACACATCAGGCTTTGCTCACACAATAGCAAACACAACAAAACCCTCAATCATTAGCTACATTGCAGATGACATTACAAGGCTGTTTTCCAGAATCTGGGCAGTCTAATTCCCCGAGCAATCCTTTTGAGATGAACTGAAAGACATCAAGGAGCTGTATGGACACTAAGTCCCAAAGACATTCCAGTCTTTTTTGCACAGTTTAAAAGCAAGGGGTTTGCCTCTCTCCTATTATCAGTAATACTGCTCCCTTGCAGAGCTCCAATTGTTTCCAGACACCTTCTCAAATCCACTGCCATTCAAAAAAAAGAAAAAAGAAAAAAGCAGACAGCAAGCAAAAAGGAGACACGGTATAAAGACGGTACAGTAAAACAAGTTGACAGAAGAAAAAAGCAAATGCCTTTGAAGGAAGGCACACTGCAATATCCTCCAAAACAAAAGTAAATCTTGAGAAAAGCTGGAATACTACTAAACCCTGACAAAGATGTGATACTGAAGTCTCCTTTATGAGGTTCTCTGCTCTATAAGCCTTGGAGCAGAGCTTTACCCTGTTAAATTAACAAAATTTGTTTTTACCACTATGTGAAAAAAGTTTCAGGCGAAAATCCTTTTTTTAAACAATATGGGAATTTAGTACTTTCGTTAACGGGGCAGTTTTTATTCCTTCCTGCAAGCAAGCTTGAGTTTTGAGCAAAACAAGCAAACAAAACCAAAACATGACTAGGATATTTAGATTATACCATTCAGGAACTTAAAAAGAAAATTCAGTACATCGAAACTACAGCTTGACTGTGAATTATCTTAGACGTCCTTTAACATTTTCTGCTAATAAAGCAAAACACCAGCTTACCTTGGTTCCATTAAAAACATCATTTACAGTGTTTCGACATCCTTCCACAGCACCATCTCCATTGAACTCCAAAGCAACGACTGGACCTAGAAGATCGTTTCATCTGGAATCAATACAACTTTTGAGTCTGGCATTAAAACATTACAGTTTTCATCCCTTAGGGAATGGTGAAGCTTACAAGAATCATTTCAATTTTTCGTCTGAGCAGCCATAATACAGAATTAAGAAACAGAAACACTTAACCATAGCTTAGAAGCACGATGTTATCTGTGCAGAAAATATCTGCAAATCCATGCTCATTTTTGCAGAGGCTCTAGCAGGTTTCCTGCTTTATTTCTTGAAAGACAGCAATGGCACAGAAATGCTGCAGAGTGGAAGGCATCGTGCAAGTGAGTCAGATTCTACTGCTCACATAGTGAGCCATTTCACAGACATCTGCAGCACGACTGAGTCATTCAGGCATTTTTACCTCAGTACCAAGATAGCAAACAGTCTGATTTTCAGACTTGTTCTCACCCACCATTTTCAGATCCCCTTTCTCTGCTTTCATTCTGAAAGTGTTATTTCTTCCCACATAGGTGCAAAATAGCCCTTAGACTACTTTTGATCTGAAAAGCAGAACTTCTATCCTATTCCTGCAGTCAGCATCATGGACCGCTTACAGTACTGTGAAAAAAACTCTCCTAAGTTTGGGAGCACGTTTTGAGCTTCAGCACACAACAGATGGCAAGATGAAATTACTTCTATAGGAACAGATAATAAAACGATTACAGTCAAATCAGCAAAAAAGCTTTTCAAGTACTCTGACAGAACACCGTTTATAAACAGGAATTGAACACTTGCCTGTTTGTACATTTGCTTTAATATCCATACGGAAACACTGAATATCTAGGTTCTTTACCTGCAATTATGCTAAGCTAATAGATTTTTATTCCAGAAAGATGAGCCTCTGTTGATCAGCCCAGACCGATCTGTTTATGTCACAGCTCCTAAGTGAATTAGTTCACTTTGGATGCCTTCAGTTTTGACAGGTTCAGTGCCTAAATGAAGCTTCCAAACTTCATCTCAACGGGCTTTATAATTTTCTCCTTCATCCTTCCATTTTCTTCTCTTTCACCTTCTGCAGAACACCCCACTACCAGCTAGATTTCTGCACTAAGAAGAGAAACAAAACTGTGTATAATCTCACCTCTTTCAAGCAGTGGAATGAATTCTGATGCATGCTGTTGGAAAACTCTCTGAGCATCCTCTGCTTTCATTGAGACTTCTTTGGTCTGTACCAGCTGAAAGCCTTTGGCAGTCATCTATTAACAGATAAAGTGTTCAAGCTAAAATGTTTCTCAGGCGTGCAGCTCAACTTTAGTCTATTCCAGTGTAGACTGAATACTCATTTCCCATATACATTAAACCACAGAATAAAAAGACCCTTTTTACTCTTTTCAAAGACCATTTGCTTTTTCTGCACTTCTGTTTATTTCCATTCCATTCATCCAGATTTTATTCTTTGCTCTAGTGCACCTACAGGGGTAGGTGTGAATTTTGGTTTTATGTTATGGCCTAAGGTTGTAGTTTTTTCCACGGTCTCTCACAAGCTGAAACTAACAGGAGTTAAAAGCATTCAGCATCCGGAGTCAAGCAGTTTGTTCTCCTTAGACTGTAATAAAAAATAAGCTCAAATGCTTATCTATCTGCTGCTGAAGTTTTCCATTTTGGGAAAAAAAAAAAAAAAAAGTTACAAGCTCTCAAACACACACAGCTCTTTACTCCAAATCCAGCAGAGATACTGAAGGTACATTGTCCTGGTTTTGATAGAGACACAGCTATTTTATTCACACAAGAAATCTGGTGAGTTACTCGTCTTTAGGAGAAAAACGATGTTTGTAACACATCAGTGCTTCCAGTTGTTGCTGAGCAGCGCCGCACAGAGCCAAGGATGTTTTGGTTTCTCAGCTTCTCATACTGCCACGACCAGTGAGGGGCATTGAGGGGACCCAAGGAGCTGGGAGGGGGAGAACCAGGGACAACTGACCTAAACTGGCCAAAGGGACATTCCATATCATATGACAACATGTAAAAGAGCTGTAAAACTGAAGGGAATTAGCTGGGGGGCAGCTGCTAACCGAGGCTATCTGGGCATTGGTGAGCGGGTGGTGAGGAATTGCTTGTGCATCACTTGTTTTATGCTTGCATATATTTATTTTTGGCTCCCAAATGTGAAATAATTCAAGAGTTGTCACGACTGTACCCAGTTGAGCTGGTGCTGGGAGTGAATGGAAGAATACGGGCAAAAGCAAAAACAGGTCAACAGACTTTAATGATAGTAAATACTTCAGAAACCTGTGAGTACATGACTGCAGAGCAGAGCAAACAAGTACTTGCCAAACTGCCAGGGAATTGAGTAAAAAAAAAAAAACCAAAACCTTGAGAATCTGTGATAACTGCAGGACATACATCACTAATATTATTTTTCCCCCTCCCCCCTTCCTTTTCTGTCCTAGTAAATAGCTTTTATCTCAACCTATGAGCTCTACTTTGCTGTTTGTTTTCTCTGATTCTCTCCTCCATCCCACTTGGCTGGCAGGGGGAACAAACAGCTGTGGAGTGCCTAGCTATTTGCTGGGTTAAAACCACAACATGCATGCGAAAGAAACAACTATATTTATACATCCAAAACATAAATTAAATCTACAGACTAGTAAGATTTCCTCAGCATTTCACTAAGTACTCTTTTACATTCTACTTAACTCTTCTTTGTAAAGAGAGACTATCAGGGGAGAACACACCCAATACCTTCTTTACTGTAGCTAATCATTCTTCAGAAAAAATACCCCCTTACTTATCTGTGTTCACTGAAGTAACTGTTAGTAACTCAGTTCCTGATAGGGATGGGGGCAGGTGCTTTAGGGAAACACCCTAAAGCTTTTTCTCTTTTTTTTCCTTGTAGTTAAAAATTGAAAGAAAGAACTCCATCATTTGTTTGGTTGCTCATAAAACACTAAGATCAGCAACTTTTGCAGATACCTCTCTCAAGCTGTAAGCTGTAATTCACTTATTGGCTCTGCTCTGTCATCCCTGGCACTCCAGAATGCTAAAAGCAGCCAGCCACTCCCAGATTTTAGCCCAGTGAAGACCAAACTCAGCCAAGCATAGGAGCTCCTGCCTTACAAAAAGACAGCACCAGCTATTTAAATAATCAAAGACAGCTGACCAGTTGTAACAAATACTCCCTGAATTTTCCAGCAAAAAATTCCAACACTGGATGGTAAGGGCAGGGGATAGATAACATTTAGCATGTTATTTTTAAAAGTCTCTGTTAGTGCTGGCAAAGCTTTCAGGGCAAATAGCCTTGATAGATTTTGGGGGCAATAAGTTAACAAGTTTATTGACTATCTCCTTTCACAAGCATTGACAACCATTTATTCTATACTTCGCCAAGTTCATTGATGAACTACACATTTTCCTCAGTGTAGGTTTGGTGTGCTGTACTGGAAAAATACACTGGAATGATTAAAGAACAGGTGTGCCAATACAGGACATTAGTTGTAACTTAACTCACACAGAGGGTGGTGACACACTGGAACAGGTTGCCCAAGGAGGCTGTGGATGCCCCATCCCTGGAGGCATTCAAGGCCAGGCTGGATGTGGCTCTGGGCAGCCTGGTCTGGTGGTTGGTGACCCTGCACAGAGCAGGGGGTTGAAACCAGATGATCATTGTGGTGCTTTTCAACCCAGGCCATTCTATGATAACTGTTTGATCAGGATGAGTTCCATTATCTTATCTTGCTTCAAGGTTTCAACATGCAGTTGATTAATACGGTTAGCAGGCAGGCAGAACCTCAGCATTCTCTCTTCAATAAGCACCAAGGCTATCCAGAGAAAGTTCAATTAGAAATTCATAAAGTTGAACAGAGAAAAAGGTCACTTACCTCATCAATTAGCTTTCTGGCATTCGCAGTTGTGTAGTCACCAGCAAAAAACACAGCCAAACACGATTCATCACTGCTCTTCTGTCTCTGCCCTCGAGTTATTGGTATTATGCTCTTCATAGCATCTGTAGAAATTCTGACAGCTTTCAGCTCTTCAGAATTTGGCAGAGGAACATAATCTTGAACCACAGCATTTTCAGGCAAAAGGCCCCAGTTGTTTTCTCCTGACACAGGAGTAAAGTCATGGATCTTGCTCCATGTGTTATTGAAGATACTCAGTCCAGCATCTTTAAACTGTAAAGCAAGCTCAGGATAATAGTACTGGAAACAACCAAATTTCATACCTGTGGAGGACTCAATAATAGGTTGGGTGGCACAGCACAAGAATACCTCCAGCTTTCTGCAGTCCCGAGTACGAAACTGTTGGCAGGCTACTATGCATTTGCAATCCTTGCAATCACGGAAAAACACACTGCCTTTTATTGGTCCTAAAAAGATTTGGCAGTTTACACAGTCATCAACAGTGATTGTGGCAGAATGGTCAAATATGTAGATAGTACAGTTCTCACAGTCCTGAATGACAAATTGTTGCCCTGCTACTTTTCCAGGGAGTCGACCCACAGTTTCATCCTTCAGTCCAGAAAAAGTGTAATCTTTCGGATCAACCTGAAGGAGAAAGGAAAGAAAGCACATGAAAGTCTTCACGTACAGATGATGTTATAATGCCAAATGTTAATTGATTTGGATTATCTGAGATATTACAGATCTGTACAGGATAACTTGCCAGAAAACTTCAAAGAACAGATATCAGAGTGATGAAAGATGCTTTTTAACTAGGCTACTGGAACACATAGTATTGAGGTACAACAGAGAGCCGAAACTAAACTCCAGGACAACAACAAACAAACAAACCTCACCACAACTAAGTTTGTTCTTTAGAAAGGAAATGGGAGGGGGTTCTAAACTGTTTCTACAGGAAAGATGGTCCTGAGGATTATGGTAATAACAGTAATAAATGAATTGGCCAACAGCATTAAAGATTCATAAAGCTGGGAAGACACAGTACTTCCTTTTCAAGTAGCCTGCTCACTCTTATGTTACCACTCCTCAACACACTGCAAGAAAACATTGCTGCTTTCAAGCAGCATCTCCATCATTATGTTTGCAAACAACAAAGAGCTTGCTTATCCATGCCACAGCATTACCTTGTGCTAACAACTCCAGCTACATGCTAGCTATAAGCAACAAGCAAAGATTGGCAGTGCTGGCACAAGGGTCATGTTTACAGACCTCTCCTCCTCCACTCTCCAGCATTCTTCTGCTGCAAGAGAAACTGTGGCCCTCCCCAGCAGCCCGTGCTGCAGAGCAGTGACTGAGGAGCCACGCAGTGACAAGGACGGTACCTGATGCAGCTGGGCTGCATGAATAATACAGCAGCTGCAGTCAGAACACTGAAGGAAATCTGAGCTGCGTTCCTCCTAGTTACACGACAGTCAAAGCAACTGTGCTTTCCCAGAGCAAATTCTATTCTGCCCTCTTGTGAAAGCTTATTAAAATAGCACTGAAAGGAAACAAGTACCTGAACTATTCTAACACCAGATCACTTCCCAGAACTGCCATTTCAGTCCAACGGCCTTAAGGCTTGCTGTACTGCAGGCAATGATAAAGCAGTACAGCAGGCGCTGGACAGCTCAACTGGCAAGAAATTCCCCCTCCCCACTATTCTGAACATTCACAGAAGATTAGAGACCAGAAAAAAGTCTCTGGTTTCTAAAACCACAAGCAAGAAAGTGCATGTGTCATGGACATGCACTAAAGCAGCTTAGTCTAGATAGGTTTTTCCTGAAATAGCTCCTGGAAGCCACATATGTCTACTAACAAAGTGTGCTCTTACATACATCGTAACAGACTTCCTGACACAAAATTAAGTTTGCAGCCAATGAACTTTCTCCATGGATATGAACTCCCAGTAAGCACTTTTCAGCCAAATTCAATATTGCTAGCACAAACTTGGGACAGGGAGGTGGAAGAGTTACAGACAGAACTGGAAGGCTCAAAGTAAAGGCACCACAGCACAGAGCCACACCACGTGATTAAGATTCAAACTCCCTAAGATCTTGCACAAGACTCGTGTAACATTACTTATCTGATCCACTGAGCATTCCCAAGGCACCGAGAGAACTGAAGTTTCAGAACTGCTTTTGGACACATTCTTCCCCAGCATCTGCTAGAGCATTCATGGATGGATGTGCGTGTGTATAATACGTACAAACATAAATATTTATTTATAGCCTTGGGAGTGGCAGTGCCTTGTAACTGAAACAGAGGAACGGTTACTTCCCTTACGAAGGAGAAGTTCAAAGTTCCCAGAACAGGCAGCTTTTTTAGAAACATCACACCTACTGTGCCCTTCTAAACAAGCCTCTTCTAAATGCCTCGGAGACTGTATTAGTTTGTCCAACATTAAGTCCTCACAAAGATCTGTGAAACAACTTCCCTTTACGATTTTAATTAGGCCTAAGTGTATAACACTGGTTTGTCAGATAATCCTCAGGTTACAGAATCTCAGATGAGAGCACTTGAGAAAGAGTAGCATTGAGTTCAATGATGTTCTGTATTAATTTAGATTGAGCAACAAAATCAGCTGATCTCCACATTCAAGAGCTCAATTTTGTTTCCCTAATGTGAATTAACAGTTGTGTGCTGATGTAATTCTGAGCTCTAAGTTTGTTCACCACTGTAGAGAGTTGGATGATTTCTTTTAATTCCACTTGGCAGTTTTCTTTTTCAAAGACTGAAAGTATTTCAAAAGTATTTCTTTTTCAAAGAAATATTTATTGACTAAACAACCATCGGAACCAGAGGGACTGAATGAAATAGACCTCAGCACTCCCCCTGCCACGCTGGGTTTCTGCCCTTGAGAGCAGTCAGTAACCCAAGAGGCCATAGCACATCTGAGTATTTCAATTCCCTTGGGTAAAAGAAAAGCCTTAGAAAAAATATCAGGGCTGGATTATAATTTTAAGAACACATCCAACATCTGTTTATGTCCTTACCACTGAGCTTCATGCTTAACAGTCCTCAGGTGTACAGGTATCACCATGAGGTTAATACTCCACTAGCTCACCTTCCTTCCCCTGAGACAGACTGCACTAATTGCTTAAGTTCCACCTCTACAGCTAAAAAGCAGGCTAGGAAAAACACAGGCAACAGAAGACAGCATTTAAAGACTTGCACAGTGAGAACCAGAGATATGTAGATTCTCTACCTACTTATCTGGTACAACTTTGTTGTAGAATCTTATGCACACGACAAGCTAGCAATAGAAAAATCAAGTTTGATAATTCACCTACTTATCCTTCACATGTGTATAAAGCTTCAAAGAATTGAAGCAGCTATATATAGTTTTGAAAGCCCTTTTCCCCAGATTGGTATAATTCCAAACAACCACAGTATTTATAGGTGCAAGTTTTAATGCTTTCAGCTGAATTTAAAGAGTTTTAGAATAGAGAGTTCTGCATTAATAGGTATAAGCACAGCTCAAGAACTGAAAACTTCTAGTCCAAGTGCTATGAGTAGGTTCAGGAATCATTCTGTAAAGTAACCTAAAATAATTAGATATGATGACCAAAAAAAAAATCCCTGCTTACTCAATAGCTTTTCTCCTTAACAAAAAACCAGAAGTCTCATCTGTAGTCATTGGAATCAACAGTGCTGATAAGTCTATTACAAAGGACTGGAGAACATGTAAAGCAGTGATTATAAGGCATGGAGAAAGAAGTGATGGCAAGCAGAAGTTTGCCATGAATGCTCTGAACTCTAGTAAGTTCTGCAGCAGCAAGTAACACTGTAGTATGCAGCTTTTCCTACTGTGAACAACTGTCTTGCAAGAAGGCCAGAGGCCAGGAAGGCAGATGAAGTTATCTCCCTTCAGCCCTGGCAGCTCCCACTTGGAACACTGAGAAGTACCAGATACTCACAGTTTTCAGTGCTAGCTGTACCTGAAATCACCAAGGTCCCCAACAGCTTCTTCCTGGTTCATGATCTAAGAAGACTTTTCTAAGAAGCCTGGTCGATCAGGAAAGGAGTCTTAGTCAGCAATGATTGCCCACTACTAATAGGGAGGCAGTGCAGTCTTTAATGGATTGTGGCTCTCCCCTTACTTACTTGTACATAGCCTGCAAAACAGTGACTTTGAAGTCTGTCGAAACCACTGGCACAAAGATCTTCTTTTAAATATCGCTCTCAAAAATCACTTCCTACCTTTCTAAATTATAACAAACGATATTTCCGTTACAAATTTATGTACAATTAAGAGTATGTGAGAATTGGCTGCTGACACAGTGACATCAAAAGCTGCAGTTATAGGGCAGGCACATAGACTTAAGAAGATTTATGTGCTATTTTTGTCAATAGGGGAATTAACAGAAAGGAAGCAAAAGAAGTGCATTCCAGGCCTAGGCAATTCCTCGCATTCAGATTTAAATGGGATTGGTGCCCTTCAGCACTGAATTGCAACATCCACTGGAGAAGTTACTCACCTCTGCCTGACTTCCAGGTTCCCAGCAGTAACAAAAGCTGGAAAGAGGGACAATATCTGCAGATTCTAACCACTGTCATGCAGTTTTTCATCTTGAAGCATCTCCTGTACACCTTGACTTTAAACGCAACCAATATAACAGCCAAAAGATATGTTTCATTCTATTCTTCAGAATCCCTCCCTTCTTACAGAGGACCAATAATAGTACTGAAGAGACACTGGCAGACTTGTCTGAACAACAAACTGCTGCCAGATGCTGCAGATAGGAAAAAGAAAGGAAAAAAAAAGAAAAAGAAAAAAAAAAAGCTAGAACACACTTTCATCAGCCTTAAATGAAGGTGTTATTTAATATTAACCTGTTGACTTCCTCAGTTGGTAGATTACATTTTGAGAAACACAGCAGTAGTTTTTCCAGTGCACTGAAAAGCCTAATATGTCAGAATATCTGATCTGAGCATGAGATCTCAGGACACCACCTCCCACTGCTTAGTAACACACAAATCAAAAAGGTTCAAGTGATTTCATATTTGTTCAAAAATAAAATATAAAAACGTTATGTGAAAGAGATGTAGACAATGCAAGAAGACCTTATCAGCTCAGACCATTCCAGCAGAATCACCAAATGTGAAGTAACTAACAGAAAACTACGACTCACGTGGCAAGTTAAAGACCTGTTCGTGAGGTTTTCTTCTTTGATTATGGTTTGGTTTTTTGTTTGTCTGTTTTTGGGGGGTTTATTTTTGTGTATGTATGTCTGATTTTGTTTTAAACTGTTTGAATTCAACCACTAGAGCCTGACAGTTACTATCATTATATGTTTCCTACCAAATGCAGCACTTCATCTGCAAGTCAATTGGCACAAAAGAAAATTTTCTCGGTAGGGAAGTCCACCTAAGTTTTGAACGTAATTGAAATCATAACTCATCTAATCTTACTTCTTTGAGGATGAGAAATAACAGCAAAAAGAAAAACCTCAGTTGCTTGTGTTTCCCCTCTTCACAGAGGAGATCACAGCACATAGTTGCATCAGCCATCTCAAAATATAAAACCCCAGTTCTTGTCTGTACGTATCCATGTTTTGCCATTGCTGTAGTTATTATTCTGGTCCTGTGTGCCAATGCTGTTTAGTCACTCAGAACATAGAAAGGTAGGAAAGGAAAAGGGAGACCAAGAACAGGAGGGCAATCTTATGTTGTAGATGTAATCATAGCTGAAGGCCAAGGAGATTCAGGCATCACCAAGTTCCTCTTTTGCATTTGGTCAGGAAGGGATACGACAAGCCTGCAGAATGTTAAGTAGTGATAACACTCTGTAATAAGCTGTGCACTGCTTATTTATCTGGAATCCCATAGAAGAAAGAAATAGAACACTTTTTGTTTTCAGGATAAGCTCATCCTTTGATTCTTCTTCAGCACCATAAGTAATCTTCACACAGTTCTCCAAATCCAGAGGTCAGCAAACATTACAGAGATCCCAGCAGATTTACGATGCAATCTGAATTTGATTAATTTTTAACCATCTGAAATACATAGACTTCTGTTCCCTTTTAAATAAGAGCACATACAAATCTGAAAAGGCCCTTCAAATTCATGTCTTTCCTTACTTTTAAGTAATCTATCAGCAGCTCATAGCATTTCATGTTCACTTTTCTACCACACGGCCCATTTTCAGGGCTGCTACACTGGAGTTATACGGTCACAAAGTCTTTGTCATGCTACTCTTTAGCTACATAATACCAACAGTAATCTTCTTTTGCCAGAAGAACACAATTAAGACAGCCTACACTGCACTGTGCTTCAGAAGTGGAAGAAACAACTTTGCTGGAAGAACTGCTTAAGTTCAGAGCTTCTGCCAGCACAGCTGTCAGCTAGCAATCACCTCGTTTCGCATCCCTGTACAGACAATCATGCACACAGGAGTGCCTAGGTTGCACTGCCTACGGTAAGTATGCCAGCATAGCCTGAACTAATGGGAAGCCAACCGGAGCCTCTGAGCAGCAAGATTTATCCATCTCTAAGAATGTTCAGATATCCTGCACAGACTGTAGGCATTTGCACTCTGCTTGCAGAACTGCACTACAGAACTGGAACAGCATCACTGTGCGTAATAGCTTGAAATTAGAACACACTTCACACCTAACACATTCATATTAAAAGTAACAGGAAATGCTAATGGCTTTTAAAGTTCATATTTCTGACCGAGTTACTGTTTTCAGAACACAAATTTGATGCATTTGATGATCAAAGAGCCCTAATGCCTCAAGTTTTCCAATTGCCACCAATCAAACTTTGCATACAAATACAAATTGAGAAATGAATAAGTATACTTATGTGTGCTGCTTCAAAAAATGAAGCAGCAATAGAGAATTGGATAATTGGTCTGAGAGAATACCTAACACTACCACATGAACACTGACATGGTAACACTTAATACAAACTGTGATCAACAAATACAGTGCAGAAAGAGCTCAGCATTCCCTTGCCTAAAAGCAAGCATCTCAGCTCTGCTCTCCTGGCTTAACATACCAAGCATATACTTAAAGACCAATGAAAAGTAATGTTGCAGGGAGCAAGAGAAATGGGCTGGAACGTGACATAAATGTTCTTGAGCTGTGCTGTACCAAATTAAACAGCTACTCTTCTGCAGTTCAGTAGAACAGCCCAAACTCACTGATTCTTCCAGTTTTTCAGAGTATTTCATACAAAGAGGAAGTTATATACACAATACGTGACATACTTCCCCCAGTGAGACAGCTTGTTTGCGCTGTATAACCTCATCTGTTCCCTCCAGCCTACTTCCCACATGCTAACAATCACCTCCACAGCAACAAGGTTCGTTGTCCTCTCAAGTCCAGCATGTCTGCGTGCCAGTTTTCCACACAGCTCCACAAGTTAGTGCCATTTGAATAAAACAGTGTGTAGAAAAGCTCATACGAGTTAACCTTTAGCTGACGAATTTACTCTATGATTAGGTCATACGGTTTCAAATGCTCATTTAGTCATGTACTTTGGCACTCGCTCACCCTACTCACTGCAGGACAGGTTCTCAGCACAGCCCTCTCCCCATAGGAGTCTCCACAAGCACCCTACAGCCAGACAGAGCAACGAGCCCAGCACAGGTCAGCCTTCTTTATCCCCAGGATCCGATCCCTGCAGGTTACACGCACAGTCCCTCGGCTCATCTCCAGCACAGCTTTTTCTTAATCCACTTGAAAGACTTAGGAGCAACCCCGGAGCACCTCGCCAAGTTTAGAAACACAAGCGAGCTAAGCACGAGTTACAGCTAACATGAGCTCACGCATCTTTTTGTCACTTGTACCACAAGGCCTAAAGGTCCGGCAGCCCCAACGATCGATGCTCACACCGGACCGACAGCGCATTCTCACTCCGCCCCGCTCTCGCTAACGGGACGGGCTGCCTCGCGGCGAATACGAAGCCAAGGCTGCCGGCGCGCTGCCTGACAGGAAACCGCTTTCCGCTCGCCCTCCCCGCCGCCCCGTACCTTGGCTCGCTGGTCCCAGCTGTACTGCGGCGCCTTCTCCTCGCCGGCCGCCGGCTCTTGGCTGGCTCCTTGCTGCTGCCCGCTCTGCGCCGGCTTCCTGCGCTTGGAGAAGAAGCAGCCCATGGCACCGGCGCCGCCGCCTCGGCAACCGAAAACCGCCGCGCGCTACAGCCGCCCCGCTGGCGCCGCCCGGCCCGGCCCGCGGGGAGAGGCCGTGCGAGACCGAGCGCCAGCGCAGCGCCTCGCCGCCCCGCCCCGCTTCCGGCTTCCCCGCCCGCCTCCGTCTCCCGTAGCGACGGCGACAGCTGGCGGCCCGGAGGGGCGGGGGAATTTCTGTCTGGAGGCTGTACCGTCATTGCGAAACGTTTTCTCCCGGGTTTCAGGGAACGGAATATCCCGAGGCGGAAGGGACCCGCAAAGATCGCCTAGACCAACCAACCCCTGGCCCTACACAGGACCACCCAGAATTCAAACCCTGTATCTTCTAGCAGTATCCAAACGTTCCTTGAACTCCTTTGCCGTACCCACCGCCCTCTGGTCTGGTGAGGAGCCTTTCCTTAACTCCCCCGTACTGCGGGGAAGTATTCTTGCCTGCTCCCAGGCCAGCAGACCCACAGGGCAGAAGTGGCTGTTAAGGCAGGGGGTGACGGATGTCCTTTTGGTGGTGGCTCTATCACCAAACCTTGTGCTCAGCAGGTTTGTTGCCTGCCCTGAGTTTTGGGTGCTACATCCATCTGTGTGTACCTGCGATACTGACAGCACCATCAGCCTCTGTGATCTTTTGGTAAGCAGGTTCCCCTTCTGTACATCTGCTTAAAAATCTGTAATCACTTTTAGACAGAAGAAATAATAGTATTTGATGCCTTTTTGTGAAAAGCTGAAATACCACCATCTACATAAAAACTAGAACTACATAACCAGAAGGTTGCTGCCTCACATCAATCTGTCATAACAGAGGACTTCATAGTCCCCATGAGTAGAGACCACTTCACTGTGCTGAGAAGCAGCTGGCTCTGCAATGGAAATACCTCATCACTGATGTCAGTACCATTTCAAAAGGTTTTTAAATGCAAGAGAAGAAAGTAACTCCTGCATTTGCCTTGCATTTGCTGTAATGTAAATTAGAGCTAGGATTTCCCACACTATCACGACCAGTATTCTTGCCTTGCAAAATCATCAGTCCCACAAGAAGTCAGGGTTTTATATGGCTACAGCAGATTGGGACATGCCTTAGGTTTTATCGCCAAACCTCCAGGCTGTTTCCTGACACCAAAACACCAGGATATTTCTTCCAGACCAATTTAATATGACTTACAAGCACATGACTTCTTCAGAAATTGCAAATGCCCGGCACAGCTCTTCATTCTCCATTCATACGCCAGGCAGACTCAACCCTCTTGGCCTGTGAGATTTGATACAATCATAGCCTGAAGTGTAGTAATGTAAGATTGTAATAACACTGTAGTCACTACCAAACATTATTATACTTACTTTAATTTCAACAAACTGCCGTAATTAGTGACTTCCCTCCTGGGGATGTTATGAAATATACCTAATTACACTGTAATACGGAGCTTTCTGATCCCCAGCTAGCAGTTTCTAGGTAACTGAAAAATAAGGCATTTTCACTGTAGAGTTTATGTCATAAAAGATTTGGTGCAACAGCTTGGTGTATCCATGCCTTCTGTGCTGGCTTCTGTCCCTGCACAGCTTTGCAGTGCAGAGATCCCAACTTCCTCCCCTTCTTTTTTCTGACACTCCCATGCATCACCTCAAGGTGCAGGAAGAGAGCTTATTCTCAGCAAACTCTGGAACCTGGAAGTTTGCCCGCACCCTAAACAGGTAGTAAAGGAAGCAAAAGCTCACAGAGTGCACACTGGCACTCATAACACCGGGCAGAGTCTGGCTCTGTGCTGCTGGCAGCTCATTGCAATGTGCAGAGCCAAACTTGCACAATCTCATTGTGTTCTGTGTGTGTGTCTTCAAGCTCTTGGAATTGTATCATTGTGAAAAATCTGCAGAATGTCTTGTTTAAAACTGCTTTTTAATCCTGCTGGTTATAGAGAAGTTGAAAACTTCACCTGTAAGACATGAAAATGAGGAAAACTCTGAAAACAAAAAGACTTCAAAACTACTGTTCCCTAAATCTCAGCTCATGTTTGCTCCACCAGGAAACATTACAAATTCCATACCTGAGATACTGGCAGCTTACCTAGACTGTGTTTTGAAAAGGATTCCTAGTTAAGATTAGATTCACCCATACTCAGGTGAAATTGTGAATTAAATATGAGACAAATAGCACGTGACAGTGGCAATTTCTTATGTTGTATTCAGCATAAAGAGAAGGATGCTTTACTGCTGAGCTCACTCTCTGAGGCTGAGCTTTGATATATGTTTATGGCAGAAGCATTCCCAGAAAAGATTCCTCACCTCCAGCTGCTTATCCGAGTCCCCAACCACCTATACACGCATTTGTACAGACGTGTGGCAAACTGCACTGGGTAACAGCTGAATGTGAAAAGCAAGCATTTCAATCAGACATCTGTGCATTTGAGTCTAAACAGACACTTTTTTTTTTTTTAACAGAAGCAGATGATAAATACACTGAATAATCTCATACAGCAACTGTCACACATTCTGAGACCATGCTGGCCTTTTTTTTTGGTCCCTTTTGCAGATTTTCTAATGCCAGATACTCTTGCCAGAATGAATGCCAACAGAAGTTGGTTTGGACTTGAGACCAAGATGGACAAATAATATGGCTAATTTTGCAAAAAAATATATTAGAGTCTATTTCGCATTGTTACTGCTGAATCTGAATTCTTCCTTTTTTTCAATAAGCATGTTTGAAAAGCATCTTTTTTTTCCAGCATCTCCCTGCATATAGAATTCAACCCTGGTCATTGGCAGCTTTGTTCAGTCACAGTGCCACTGGACAACAAGGGCATGTCCTTTTCATAGCTGTCTTCAGCAAAGAGTCTGGCAGCCATGACATACATCTCTAACACTGGGGTTGGTGAACCAGGAGCAGCAGGCCAGTGTGGCTGTGTCACAGCTTAGTGTGAACTGACCCGCTGCAACAAGGAAAAGCACAAACAGGAAAATTGAACAGTTCATATCTGCAAGCTTTTTTTTGTTCCAAAAACCTTCCTGGTGATCCCAACCTCAAATAATTTCCTGATAAGGAATTACAGCATATATACAACCCTTTTTCTATTGCTGGTGTTTGTGACAAAGATGAGTGGAATTCTGTGCGGACAGGGAGTAAATTATTTAACATCCCTCTTAAAAGTATTCACAGAACTACAAGTCCTTTCTGAAGTTTTTTTCACTGAAGCTCTAAACAGCCAAAATTTCAGAAAGGCATGAATTAAATATTGATGGCCAAATGAACGAAAGAAATATTTGAAAGTAGACCATGATTTAAATTATCCAATACATTTGAAGCATGTATCCTGGTATTAGGACAGCATAACATATGACACGAGACCCACATTATCCTGAATTTTGCTGCAAGCTGTCTCTGTGACAGAAAGTCTGCAGATGAAAGGGGTTGCAGTTTATTTAAAGGGCTGCTGGTGTTCTGACTGCACTTACTGAAACCGAGCAAATTAAGTTTTCAGCTGTAAAGCACATTCTTATTTTGCAATTATGGTTTCATAGATCTTACACAAAGCCCAGATCCTAGATCCGTTTTTGTGATAGGAAGAGAGCTGCCACAACCTGAGTGTTGCCTAACGTACACTTTGCCAGAGAAGCTTGTGTTCTACGTGAACACCGAGCTGAGGCAGGCAGGACTCTTCAGCTTGATGTTAGATGCAAATGCAATGAAACAACCATAAAATTTATGGAGAGTACGTTTGTGGCTTGTTTTAAATTGGACAGCAATTCAGATAACAAGTTACAGTGCTGACTCAGCAAGGCATGTATGCACATGCCAAATGGAGCATATGAAGAAGAATAATGAAGATGAGCTTTAACAGCTACTGAAGCACAGTCCAGCAGCCCTTACTTTCTTCCTTACGCTGCTGATAGCAGGACTTTTTTTTTGCTCTAGGCATTCCAGCTCCCTTTGTATCTTAGTTAAAACCAGGAGGAACACTTTTCAGCATGCATCTCCAGTTTCTTACCTTTTATCCTTTTCTCTAACACCCAGTGTTAGGGCTGCTCTGCAGAGTGCTGTTCCACATGTAGGCTTCAGAAAAGTTTCACTCTGCTGCAGTCCTAGTATGGAAGAGGAAGGCCAGAAATACACCAAGTAAAGGTTGCTTGCTCTAGTCATTTTATACCTTTTTGTCTTTCACCTTAGAAGAGAAGTTGGATGGAAGCTCTCTTCACAAGGAGCTACATGGAGAAGACAAGGAGCAACAGATACCAGGAAACCAAAGAGAGGTTTCTCCTAAATCTAATTTTGATATTGATCACACCAAGGTTTCCTTTTTCCAAAAAAAAGTTGGGCCTGGCAATCTTTTGTGATCCATTGCAACCTGGATTGTACCACAATTCTATGAGGTTATCCTTTTTAGTGCCTAAAGAACTTTTTAATTGCAGGACAGAGGTTCTATTTGTGTGGAGGGACAGCTGAAGCCTGGCATACACACTGTCCTCATCATCTTGGTGGTGCGGCAGACCACCAAAAGTGATTGGTCAGAGGTAGCAATGTGTTAATTTGCTGTTGCATAATTCATCAAAATTTGTTTATCTGCAGTCTTATTTTACGTTGTCACACAGCCTATTCATGTTCTTCCAGGTCCAAGCAGTAAATTTAACGAGGTGGCTTTATCTATGGTGCCAGCCTGCTATGCACATTGTCTTTGTGGGTGAGAATGGTGGCTGGCCCATGTTCCCAGGGAGACTGGTGAAAAGTGGGGTCTCCAACAGAAATGTAGAAGATATCACTTGTTTGCAACCATGGTGAAACCCTGGCAAAATATACTCAAAGGCTATGTCTGTGCTGGACTCTGCCTGCACATACTTTAGGGAATTACACAGCATCTGTATCCCTGAACAGTCCCCACATGTTTTAGGGGATCAGATCAAGATTTCATAGAAGTTGAGCAGCATCTTTTTAATATTCAAGTGTTAACTGTAAAAAATTTCCAGCTGTTGAAGTCAACAAATAAAGGATTACATCTTTTTTTTTTTTTTTTTTGGCTTTTCTTCCCTTTCTGTCTGTTGGCAGAATATATAATAAACATTCCAGACTGTTTTTGGAAATGCTGTTACGTCACCGTAAGA